CCATTTTAAATGCGAATACACACAAATCGTATACTGCAAGAAAAAAAAACTGAATTTAATGGCTTTTTTGCACAGTTTTTTTCTGCTTTTGTCGATAACCACCACTTTTATATTGCCACTGATTTACCACCACCGTGAATTATTCACATAAAGATTTTAAACAAATACATTATTTCATCAAATGCTCTTAACACTTGTCCATATCGATACTCTGATTTGATTGCATTCACTGAAACTGATTGCAATTCAAGTTTGATTAAGAGTGGAGATGATGAAAGCATTCAATAATTTTGATGGAACCAGTATCTAAAAGGAACGTTTATGGTGTACAAAAGAATGATTTCATTCATTTACCAAAAAGGATTTGAAACGTCCACCTGAAAGAAATTGGCTAATCTACGAGATAAAATCGTTTGAACATTTCAAAAATGTTCAAGTTGTTCGAACAAATGTGAATCGTATTGTTTGAATTCATTTTGAATTTCAAAGAAACCAATTTGAGTTGAATTTAGAAAAATGCCGCTAAAATGCGTTTAATTGAGTCGTGTGACTCAGTTGACCCGTACGCTAGTGTGAGATTTGATTGAATGAGTGAGTGACTTTGAGTAAAATGGAATTTTTTTCTGTTTTTTTCTTATCTCTCTTTCTCTCTCTCCCTCTCTCTCTCTATATATCTCTCTCTCTATATATCTCTCTCTCTCTCTCTCTCTCTCTCTCTCTCTCTCTCCATGTGTATTTTCTTCTCGCATTCTTTTACCTCTAATGTTTGTGGTGTGAAAAAGAATTCACATACGTTCCTAATTAACATCTTAAAATCGAAAAAAAAAACAGAAAATACATTGGTTGTTTTCAAGAGGCATTTAACGGTAAACAGCTGTCAGCAAATTGAAGCATTCATATCAGAATCGAGTCAATTGAATGGTGCGTGAAATGCTATTCAACCGGGTTTTGTCTATTCACATGCGATTGAAAATGTACTTTGTGAACGAATGAAGAAAAAAACTCATCTTTCTTCTTCCTTGGGCCGTATTTCTTTTTAAATGGAGTCGGGAGAGAGAAAAAAAAAACGAAACTAAATAAAGAAAACCCAAAACAAGTGAAATGCTGGGACAACTGCTGTAAATTCTCTATTTAAATAGATAATTTAATCGGAACCGAAAACGGATTTTCGTGGAACCTTCCGCACACTTGTAAAAATAAGAGAAGAAAAATCAAATTGAGCCTCGACCGAAAACGACCGATACCATTGGAAAGAAATAAAAAAAAAACGGAAAAAGCGACAAACAAAATGAAACGTAAATAGATTTAAATGGCAAGTAAGTGATAAAACGTTTGTTGTTTATTTTTTTTTCTTCGGTTTTTTTTTTTGGAGTGTGTGCCAGTTCTGTGACCGCAGCATTGCCTCTCAATATTCATAGTCTTAATCAAATGTATGTTTCTTCGTTCCTCTTCTGGTGAATGAATGAATTTTAGAGAAATCGTACAATGAATCGTGCGAACGAAAACGTTTGAGACAGCGGCTGATGTGAATGAATTTTGACTCTGTTTTTTTTCCTTCTGTTCTTTTCGTTCGGTGTGCGAATCGATCCGGAAATAAACCGAACCGATTTTGATGGGTAAATTCAATCGCATATGTGTGGTTAGAAAATATAAAGTTGCCGTAGCTCTACCATCCGACCAATACACCGACCATGTGTTGTCTCACACATACAATTTTTGCAACACGAAAAACTTTTCGTACAATTTATTTAATATTGATTTTCATGAACTCCCATGACAATCTGTGTCGTGTGCAGTGTGTTTTTTCTTCGTCGTGCGATTTTAATAAGTTTCGTTAGATTGCGTGAGCGTGTGTGTGTGGTGTTCCTTTTTCATCTTTTCGTTAAACGTGAGAATTGAAGTGTGTGATGCAAAAAGACAGCAAGTCATTTGTTGGATACACGCTTTGTGCTATGGAGTAAAATGCTGCAAAATTACACAATTTTGCTGATTCATTCAATGCGATATAGTTTAATGGGAGTTTCAATTTTGTTATAATTGGAAACTTTTTCAACTTGCTTGTATGAAATTACTGTGTTTAAATTGCATTTTTGTCGTCAGAAGAAAAAAAAAAACGACTTGGACTTTTTGAGAAATTTTCTTTATGAAATTTAATGAATGTGTATTGTTGGAGCGTTTTGTTCTCGATCCATAGCAATGATTTACTCGATTCTTTGCTCAATGGAGAAACCAATGAAAAATAGAGAAAAGACATGCACACATCTGGTCAACCGTGCGCCATACGCCAAAAATTTCCATTCTTGTAAGCTTGAGGCGTACATACGCACGAATTGATTCGAATGGAAATGGTGTACATGGCAACAAAAGCGGCAACAATCGATCATGATATCGGCAATCGACGGCTCAATCTAATTTATTTTGGTCGAAAGCGTGTTTTTTCTTTGGCATGCTTTACCTATATTTTAGCCGCAATTGTACTTTCTTCCTCTTGCTCTTTCTATTCATCTCACACTCTATGTCTCATTCCCTTGTTCGTCCTTCCCTCTTTCACTTGTTCGCCTTTCTCTTGCTTTTTTGTTTTCTTCAATCCATTTCCTCAGGAGCAGGAAAGCTCGGGTAAGCGTGGTAAGCGTACAGAGAATAAAATATGTGTCAGAAGCCTGAGAATACCATGGAAAATATTGTAATGTTAATACACATTTGAGGGAATCACTTGTAAATGTGTGAAAATGGAAAACCGAATCCGGCCAGTCGAAGCGAATGCTATGAATTTTCAATAGAATTTTGTGTGTGCGTGATTCATAAGCCATTCACACGCACCCGATACCATGTGTGTAAATTGACAGGCGTTTCTCTGTATCATTCTCTCTCTCCCTCGCTTCCTTGCCCGTTCGTTTGCTCTTCAAATATATATTTTGAGATATGCGTTCGGTTTTTTGCACCTTTTGAAGATGGATTTTCGTATGGTATCTTTTTTCTGCAGCTGATGCTGATGATGATGATGTTTCGGAAAAATGATGAGCCAGTAAATCATTCAATGGCAAAGCCAAATTCCAATTTTCCCAACGAAAGCCGAACAACTGCGCATATGAAAATGATATAGGAAAAACGATTTGTCGAACAATAATAAACAATAGCAACCGCAGTACTCTGGCTTCGTTTAAAAAAAAAGAATCGAAGAAGGAGAAAAAGCTGAGTGGCATATAGAATTGGTGGTAAAATGAGTTGCCAAATATAATTCGTGTTATTTGCTTGTCGATATGTGAAAGAAAACTATGGATGCGTGCAAAAACCCGAAACTGAAATTGTTCCAACAATAGAAATTGCGAACGAATAGGAAGAGATACATCCAAAAATAGACTATTTACACATTGAATGGATGAACTCATCAATAGATAGCTATCGTAGTCGCGCTCAGCATGGACTTTATATCGTCGAATGTCGTTAGCAGCTCGTTGTTCGAGCAAGCGAACAAAGAACAAGTAAGTACTGAAAATTCAAACGAAGTCTTAGTTCAAACAACCGTCGTCCCTGTATAGTAATTTATGTGCGAGAGTAGATGCGATAATATTCGTGACCTGCTTAAACGTTTCAGTGCACAGAGATAAATTCCTGTATTGAAACGTCATCTAATACACATACGCACAGCGCATGGATTATTATCAATATTTCAGTATCTCGATTGACTTCAACAATCATTGTGTGTTGTTTTGTTTTTGTGTATGCTTGTACGAGTAATTGAGCACGTGTTTTGCAATGAAACCAAAAACGTCTATATCCACTAAGTCCCCGTTCACCTTCCTGCATAGGCATTCGTTTCGATGATCTTATTCCTATTTCTTATTCATAATTCAAATTCTTCAATAAATTCAGCTGATACGTGAAGACGAAATCCATACGCGAGACGATGTTTAAAAAGGGTTTTATTTTATTCAATCTCATCATATGATTCTGGTTCGTTCGTTGGATCTGTTGCTCGAGATCAAAGGTCTCTGTGTGATTCAAATAACAAATTCAACTGTATTCAAATCAGTCTTAAACCGAGTCGAAGATTTCGTGCGTCGTCTCGGTCTCTCTGCTTCGCCGACGAATTTCAAAGTCTTTTTTCATGTGTGGCTTTGGAAATTATCAGACACTTATCGAAATGTCAATCATTGATTTCAATGACTTTTTACGGTTATCCGCCGCATTTGCCACTCTTGAACCATTCACCCACTGATTCATAGGGCCAAATATATCAATTTCTGACGGGGAATTGATAAAAAAAAAATCGTGGAAAAAAACGAAAGAAATTCAAATGCGCCGGCATTTGGGTAACATTTCGTGTCTGTAACAAGAGAAATGAAGCAAATACTTATCGAAGAGAGACTGGCGTCTGGAAAATTTCATTTCGCTGTATGTTGGTCGCTTTTTCTCTCTCATCTAATTATCAATATTCGCTGGGTGTCTTCACACAAGTACCATTTTATGACGAGCCGTTTTTACCACGTGTTTACTCTTGACTGAGTTAATCATTGCGTTAACAGATCGATATCAATTTTACCAAAAAATCTTTTCAAATGTTCAATCGATTCAGACATTGTCGATATTTGGCTTTTACGATGCTCTTGAGTTTTGGCTCTTTAAGTGATTCAAATGTCGATTTTAGCTCTGAAACTTTCTTTCAGCCCACAACTTTCTAAAGACTACAGTCTCTCATATTTCATCTCTTGAGCAAAAAGAGGGATTTATTTAGCGCCGTCGAATGTTTTTTTTTTCATTGACTTTAGGTAAGAACAAAAAAATATTTTTTTACCGAAGTTTTCAGATGTATAAATCATGAACTCACATGTTTGAAATGGCCATGCTGTGCTTAAACTTGTACACAATACATTACGCGCGCCATTTGCTTTTTGTTTCGTTTCTATATGATGGACGGGTAATTTCAAATTAGAAACGCCTAAATCTACAGCTTTCCTATAAACAAAATTCGTTTGCCATTTGAGCTAAAATATGCTTACCTTATATCAGTAGTTTGGAATTTTTGATCTGAAAATATAAAATAAAACATGAAATTAGTTCTAAACATATTCGGAATATTTCATATAATTATTCAAATGTACATTTTCTAATCAATCCTGTTTATTTCAACTGTCGGTTTTCCTCTCTCATCATTTTAATTAAATAAGATTATTAATTTTCTTCGAAAAAAATTGAATTATCCAAAATTCGTTCTTTATACTGCATTTGAAATATATACACTATACAGTCGCCTCTATTATACATCAATTTTATGAAGAAGATATAGATTCCGACGTGACAATCCATTCAAATTAAATGATTGCATGTGATCGAACGGTTTTTTTGCAATGGTCCATTTCAATATAATAAATTCGAAAGTTCAAATGCGGTTCGGAAAAAGATGAAAAATAATGAATAATTTTGTGATAGTATCGCTTTGGTCAGTAAGAAAAGTAAGTTTTTTCTTGCTTCAGAATTAAATCATGTGTATGCTACTGTCGCATTCATATTGTGTTGCAAATAAATAAAAAGCGAAAGTTGTGTATGGGTTTTTTCATTGACGGAACATGCTTTGATTTTGATATGTTGTGTGTATTGTTAGTGTCGATGAGTTTTCCATTTTTCATGATAAACATTTGGCTTTTCTTTGGCTTTTCGGGTCTGGTATGAGCGATCCGTCATCGTCACCAAGCATATCGAGAAACAGAAGTGGAATGAACGAAGGAAAGAAAGAGCGGTTGAGACAGAGAGTAAGAGAAAAAGAGATCGAATAGCTGCCGTATGTGGCACAATCACCCTCGAATGACAAATGGCAATAACATCATATGATGCAAAAATATTTCGTTTTCGCCGATTGAATTGCAAATATTGTTTATTCAATACAAAACGTTGGCGATGGCCAACAACCGAAACCTGCTCACTACGGAAAGATTGAGTGAGTGAGAGAGAGAGAGAGCGTAACAAACGAATGCATTGATATGAAATGTTTTTATATTCTTTGTGCAATGCCAATGTGTCCTTCACGTCTTTCATTTCAGTATTCACAGACAAAGGGAGCAAGAGAATTGTGTGCGTCTGTTTACTTTTCTATTTAACATGTGATGACATTGAATGTGGAATAGGATGAAGTAATAGTGAGGCGATGGCTGGGTTGCCAGACATAGATAGCAAGAGAGCAAGTCAAGAGCGCGTCAAAAAGTGCAGAATTGAGGAAAAAAGGAAGGCCAAGTAGGATAGGAATAACGAGACACACACACAGAGAGAGAGAGAGAGAGAGAACGATATATGGAATATTTGGTGAATCAGAATACAACGGGATTGAAGTGAAACTCGAAAAATAGACACGAACCATGCCACAAAACAGAGAAGGGTCTCCAACGGATCAGCATCAAGTGTGAACAAAGAGAGAAATGACAAACAAGCAATAGCATCAACACCCGTAAAATAAAATAAAATACAAATAAAAATAAATAAAATAAACAAAACAGCAAGCAAATAGGGGAGCAAACGAACGAAAGTGAACGAATGAGTAAGAAAATGAGTGACAGAGTGAGGGCAAGTGAACGGATGCCAAAGAATGCAAGACGCACGAACGACGTTGCTTAACCGGAACAAAAAAGGTTTGACATCTTGAAGGCACATCGTGGCAGAGTGAAAAACGCGGGGTGGAATGGAGAAATAAGCACGCATTTTGCACACCCTGCGCGCCCTTTTACATATTCGACCGAATATTGAATTCAATGCTCACCAAATAGATAAGCAAATCGGAAGGTATTTTACTTTTTCGAAATGCTAATACATATTAAATGGATCTGATTTCGCATGCAATGCAATGGAAACAAAAACACATTTTGCCAACGAACTCATATCATCGGATGGATACACAGAGCGATAAAAGAATTTTAAAGAGACACAAAAAACAACGTATTTTTCTTCTGTGCATGTCTCTGTGGAAATAGACGCAGTGATGGACGGATTGAAAACAGCATCTGGAACAGCGATAAGCATGCATATAACCATCAGTTAAGTTATACGATTTCGGGTTTGTTTACATTTGAAGAGGCGATAGAAGAAGAGAAAAAAAAATTACCGAAAAGAATGCAAGGGATGATATGTGACAGTGTTTGCGTGCATGTTGTGGCAAATAAACATCGAAATAAGCCATTTGACTGGGAGAAGAAAAAAAAAACTAAGGGCATCACATTAAAATTGAGTGAACTCGTATTTTCTTGTCTTCAAAGCAACGGCAACGCATCGAGGCAATGATTGAAACTTCTCCTGATATGGTTTGTATTCATCCCTATACTATCAAAATGAGACTCGAACAAAAAAAAAAACTGGTACACACACAAGGAGTGTCGCACCGAAGAGCACTTTCGAGCCACGATGAATGAATGATGAATCGCTTGGAAACCAAAAGCAAAACAAAACAATTGTCACATCAAATATTCAAATTCAAGCAACTTCTAAGAAGACTCTCGACGAAAATCAGCCAATAAATAAAAAGGCAGCCGATTTTTTAAAAATGGATCAACGATTGATATCGTTTTTTCCTATCATTCGATAGCATCTAATGCCTGTTGCGCACATTAAGCCTATCGATTCCCGACTGACTTTCAACAACAACAACAGCAACAAAACACTTTTCGAAAAAAAAAAAAATCATCCGCCCTCGAACCATGGCTTGATTGCCATTGTCATCACTTAGACTCTTTTTGCCCGTCTTTTTTGGCGATGTATTCAATTTTTTTGTTGCGAAACAAAAATAGGAGACAGATTCAACACTGAAAATGCACAGTACATTCCGATTCGAGATCCACATAATTTATTTTCTTGACAGCAAAACGCAAAAGAATCATTACATACAGCCATCATGTTGACTACGATCGTTAATGAAAACCGACGAAAACCACTGTTCTCAAATGCAGATTGCCCCTGATGTGAGATGAGATGCGCGCATGGGCATCCGTTCACTCTGTCGCTCGCTCCAGAGAGAGACAAGTGAAGTGCATGTGTGAGAGGAGATGGGATTGGTCTTGAAAAGAGCAATAGAGAGAGAGAGAGAGAGTGCGGATGACCAGTAAGTAAGTCTTTCATCTATTTGATTCGCCTATTCTTCACTGCCAATCTTTATTAACTAAAATATATGGATTTGTATGTATATGTGGTGCGATGTTGTTTTTTTTTTCTTCTGCTGTGCATACGAGAAACCGTCGAATGGTCAGTATTCTTGGCGTGTTCACTGTTCACACAAACACATGCATCACATGCTGAATTCTCTCAGTCTACATATTTATCTTTCGTTAGCGTTGTCATGAAATACACACTCACATCTCCCATGTACCATTTATTATTTATGTACATCAAGTTGCTTTTCTTCTATTTTTTTTTTGTTATTGCTTCTTTCGCCTCGTCACACAACCCAAAGAGGTCTCGAGCAAACCTGAACCATTGAAAATGCCAGCACTTTCGCTATAGCAGAATATTTCAGCCAGGGCGAGAGAGAGAGAGAAAAAGTAAAAGAAAAATATATCAATAGCCCAAAAAGCAAATAAAAGAAATGTGAGCCAGCACATGGGAGTTTTAACAGTTGAAGAAGAAAAATTGGGCGACATTTTTGCGACACGAACCAACTACCCATATTGAAGAAGAATAATTGTCGATTCTCTCTCTATATATTTCTCTCTCGCTCTCTCTCTCTCTCTCTCTCTCTCTCTCTCTCTCTCTCTCTTGTCGAACTATTGAACCCAAAGTACATATCATGAATTGAGAAAATATGAAGTATGGAAAACCCAAAGCATAACGAGATGAGCGAAAAAATGAAACAAGTGAAAGCAAAAATAAACGACATATGACAATGAGATAAACCAAGAAGAAAAAACGAAAATTGACTAAAAACGAAACTGGGTTGGTTTTGGTGAAACAAAACATCTGGTTTTGATCGGTTCGCTTTGCATTCAATCAATATCGACATGTCTTCCAGCCATGCATATTTATTCGAACATTTCAATGGGACGATTCCAGAATTTCAAAACCGTCAATGGAATGATAAAAGTCTCTGATCGGATTTTTTTGTGTGGAAACTTTCCATTTTTCAAATTGAACTCTTTTGCATGAAAAAGGGAATTTGTAGAACGAACATTTGATACGATCAATGGAACTCTAATTTAATGAAATATTTTTTAAGTTCAATTTAACTGAAATTGAGATTTTTCATAAAGGGACCCAAAATGAATTCACGGAAATGTTTTGATTTTGGGCTTAAATTCGATGTGGGTGGGTGTGTTTCTGCAGATTAATTTTGCCTGCTGTTAACATTTTTTCAACACAGAATTTTGAAGTATTTTCATTCAGTCACTCCACATGCTCGTCGTTTAGTCCAATCTGTGAGTACTAAGTTTCCGTGAGTGATACGCAAGATGGCAGCACCTTAAATGGCATTTTTATACACAAAGTAGATACTTGAGTGTAAATTATGTTAGTGGCGTATCAAAATGAAGGTTTAAAAAAAAATACATTGTCAATATAGAGCGTGTGGTGTGACTGTTTTCATTTCATTTAAATATAATACAACCATGAAAAACATTTCAATTAGTTTCAATTTACTGAAGAAAAATCGATCATTTCAATTAATGGCCACGAGACTGAATAAAAACACCGTAACAAAACTCACGATCGCTTCATGCAAATCTCGATGGCTCAAAGCATTCAATACAACTCAATGTAAGAGTTTTTGGACACTTTAACAGTCAACGCCATCTATATTTTGAGCGACTGTGGTGTTCTAAGACGATTTTGGTAAATTTTGTGTGTAAATGCATACAATTGATTTTGACACAAAATGTTTTTGAGAATCGTCATATTGCGCTTAAGAGTTTGTGATTGTAAAAATGTTCATGCCGTACGGCTGTGAAATGTGATTGAGCGAAATAGATAGAAAATGTTAAATAAACGCAGTATTCTGGTGAAGAGATTATGTTCTTTTTTCAGTGATTGTTGTGTACCTTTGATTCCGAGACGTTAACGCA